CGGCCTGTTTTTGAAGTTATTTAGACGTATTGAACGTGGGGGGGCGTACGGCCATCTGAACGAGGGTACGGCGGGTGTGCGAACGTGCGAACGGGGGGCAAACGGGGGGGGCGAACCTGGGCGAATGTACGCACGTACATACGCCGTACGTGCACGCACACACACACATGCACACACGTACGCACATATGTACGCACAGACGTACTCACGTACGTTCGCACGTATAAACGTACGTAGGTACCATGTTCAGACCCATGTTCAGAAATAAGGTTACCTTTGAAAAGTGACCTCCTAATACTAAATATGCTTTAGGAGGCTTAGGGTCGTACAGAAATAAGGTTACCTTTTATATAAAAGGTAACCTTAAAGGTAACCTTATTTCTGAACATGCATGTGAACGTGCGTGCGTACATGCACATGAACGTGCGTGCGTGCATGCGTACGTACGTGCGTACATGCGTATGTGCGACCCCTTCGTGCGACCCCTTCATGCGCCCTCAAGGGGGTGGGCCCGCCCTCAAAATTGCACGGGTTTCGAATACCAACAACTTTGTACCAGTATTCTTGGGTTGTATAGTAGGTGTACAATAATTTCGGCACAGGTTGACTGTACGAATTATCACCAGGCAAAACAAGACTAGTCGAATTGTTCGCCCGTCCGCTCGCCCCCCAGCTCGCCCCCCCGCTCGCTCGTGCGGGCGACGTTCGTCCACCCGTTCGCGCACATGTTCGCCCCTACGTTCGCCCCCCCGCTAACCCCTCGTGCGGTTTTCAACATATCCACGGCAGCGAGTTTTTGAGTTTAGCTAAATTATATACCATTACATACCATTACATACCATTACATACATTACATACCGTTACATACATTACATACCATACATACATTACATACCATACCATGCCATACCATACCATACCATACCGTACATACATTACATACATTACATTACATTTACATACATTACATACATTACATACATTACATACAATACATACATTACATACATTACATATCATTACATACATTACATATCATTACATACATTACATACATGGCATACATTACATACACTACATACATTACATATATACATTACATACTGTACATACATTACATACATTGTCTACCAGTACATACCATTACATACGATTACATACCATTGCAAACCATTACATACATTACATACATTAAATTGCATACATTACATACATTACATACATTACATACATTACATACATTCCATACATTGCATACATTGCATGTATTGCATACATTGCATACATACCATACATTGCATACATAATTTACATAACATACATGACATACATTACATACATTACATACGTTACATACATTACATACATACCATACCATACCATAACGTGCCGTACCATACTGTACCATACCATACCAACATACATACATACATAACATAACATAACAAAACATAACATGACATAACATAACCTAACATAACATGACATAACATAACATACATAACATACATAAGATACAAAACATTACATACATACATACATACATACATACATGCATGCATGCATGCATACATACATACATACAAACATTACATACATACATACATACATACATGCAACATGCATGCATGCATGCATACACACATACATACATACATACATAAATACATACATACATACATACATACATGCATACATGCATACATACATACATACATTATATACATACATACATACATACATACATACATACATGCATGCATGCATGCATGCATACATACACACATACATACATACATACATACACACATACATACATACATACATACATACACACATACATACATACATACATACATACATACATACACACATACATACATACATACATACCATACGTTACGTTAGGTTACGTTACATTACATTACATTAATACATACATTATACATTATACATTACATTACATTACATCGCATCACATTACATCACATCACATTACATTACATCACATTACATTACATTACGAGTACATTGCGTTGCGTTGTGTTACGTTACATTTCATACATACCATACCATACCATAACATAACATTCCATTACATTACATACATACATATCCAATTTATATGGGATCAGTATGTATGCATATGTGACTCATATACATATACACTGTATATATACATATATGATGTGTGTAGATGATATAGAGTGTACACATAGGGGAAAATCGCTCCAATGATAGTCCATGCTGCATCTTTCAGAGCGCCTTTCTGCAGGTTGGTCTGCCGCGCAACATGGCGCCCACACAGGGCCCAACATATTTATCTTTAGCAAATGGATGCAAATTAGAGTAAATCAAGCGTTACAATGCAACTGAATCTCTTTGTATACAGATATACTATACATACATATATAGATACAAGTACATAATGTGTATATATATATATATGCATATATATATATATACACGTTATTATATATTATATATACATATAGTCATAGTTATATAAATGTAATATACATTATATGTATATTATATATACATTGTGTGCAACTCCATGAGTGCAAGTCCATAAGTGCAAGTCACCCAGTTCTGGGGCTAGGAAATGGGCCAAACAATGTTCGGAGCAGGCGCAGAAGGTGCCTTCCGAGTCTCGTTTTGTTTGCGAAGCGGTTCATCATTCATCTATTATCATCTATTCATGTGTGTGTCTGGGTCTTTGGAGCACAAGCCCATCTACATCCATCTGCCAGTTTTTGGGGTTGGAATTTGGAATCCTGTAGTTTCAAAAAAACAAAGCGCAATGCTTGGCAATCAGTATGGACCTTGGAATTGGTACAAGTTCCATGACCAAGTCCGACCAAGTCCCGGAAATTCTGCTGGGGACTGCTTACAGGCTCTTTTTCAACCTCTCGAATCGAATGTTTCGGCACAGTCCGAAATTGGCGACCGTCCAGGATTGAAAGACTCCTGGACAGGTCACACAGCACTGCTGATCCAGGAGAACTTCTGCAAGCCTCGCTTGTCTGAAGTATTGACCAGTCTGATTTTTGGGAAATTGGAAGTCCTCCCGGTCCCCACAGTGTAAGGTGAAGACCATATAGAGTCTCACTTATCCGAAAGCGAGCCTACATCCTGCACACGCGCTCGTGAGCAGATCACATGGAGGTCACCAGTCTCAATGGGCGAAGGGCCAATGGGCACCGCTCCGCCCAGAGACCAAACGAAAATCTGGAACACAAGCTGCTTCGAAGCTAGCAGGTGAACGAAGAAAGCTTAATGATCTGTTTGTGATGCGAGTACTGTGAGTACTGCCTTCTCTTTAGAAGCACTAAACTTCTGTCTGTGTGTGTGTGTCTGTCCGCTATTCTGTGATGACAATGCAATTCAGTTCCCCGGGACAAAATCAAACAGCCAGTCCAATATATGAAAGTTTGCCCAGCTATAAAATCATACAGAATATAGAAATTCAGTACGTAGCTGATAATACTCAATGCTGGTCAACGCGAAGCGTATGGCCAAGCAAACACGACTTGGAAGAAAAGGGTTGGACATGGTTGGATACATAAATTAAAATGTGTGCTTCTAAGACTCTAAGACTCTTGATTGAAAACAAGAGCGATTTTCAACGCTGATTCCAATGTTTGCTACAAGCCATGTCAAAGGTAGACTCGAAGAATGCGCAAGCAGACCTCAGCTTGGATATTTTGGCGCACACTTTTGGACAGGAGCAAAGTGTTTGGCGAATGAGAGCCACTAAAACATGTTTCTAAAGTCCGTTCTACTCAGTTTGATATGTTCACCGCTCCTGTTTTCCTCCTTCAGAATCTAAATATTGCATCCTTTTGAGGGGTTTATCAATGTGCAGCATCTATTGATCTTGTATCTGAAAATCAGGATATTCAATCATGTCTGTGTCATCCTGTCAACACCATCGCTCACAGAGAGTGCACGCTGTTTGAGCTTCAATTGCGCTGGAACATCAAACATCCATGGGCGAACAGGCCCGAAAACAAGCAAGTCACTCAAAGACCTGGGCTTGGTAAAGAAGTCACTGGAGACTCTAGGAACCGCACAAAGCCGTGAAGGTTTAAGGCGCCAGTCTCGAGGCATCTGGGCACTCCTCACAATCTCCTGCAACCCATGATGGCTGCTGTGTTCAGTGCCCAACCAGTGGGGGGGACAGGGTGATGGCCATGATCTAAAGGGTTCTTACCAGAAGGACGCTGTATGTTTCTGATCTTGAGAAATTGCGAAGAAGACTGCCCCATGTTGAAGTAATCAGCTATACTTGTTCGCGACTTTCTGACTCTTCGATACGGAAAAAACCCTGGCCCCAGAATAGGCTCTCCCGCCTCACCACCCCAGGAGCCTCCGCGGAGGGAATGGAGGCTACCGCCAAAAAACCTGGGAGTCCATTCCATGGGAGTATCAAGTTTCTTAGTTCTAAGGTATGGATTCTCAAACTCAAAAATGTTTTGAAAGACGATGTCAAGAAACGGTGTGCTAACACCTTTTGTTCCTGAGCAGTCAGCAGGTCCCCGAGAGTAGCACCAGAGCTCGTAGCACTGGTCCCGCGCTTTAAGGGACAAATGCAGCACAAGTCGGAAGACCCACAAAGGCCCCAAAGCAACAAGCTCCCTCAAACGACTTAAACAACTTGGCATAAGCAAACCGCATGCGATGCAAATGAGTGTTTTTGGCTGCGTGGTAATCCCAGTGGCATTTTACTTTTAAACTTCTTTCAAACATGTTTAAACTTGTTAAAACCCTTTACATCCCTTTACGACTTGAAGTGTCTCTGTTGCAGGTCTCCAACCAATTTCTCACGCAGGGGTGGCATGCCATCCCTTCGGGAGTCAAGCACGGCCCAACAAAAACACCCTGCGCACAGGAGTACAGTATCATTTTCTATCCGCTACGTTCCATCTTCGAAACTCAACCAAACTCAAGTATGAATTTCCAGTATGTTGCAAAAAGAAAACAAAACACAAAGAAAGCTGGGAACCTTTGTAAAAGTCTAAGGAATCCACATGAATCCGCTGCAATCCGCTGCAACACGTTGAATCCGAATGAATCCTAGGCCTTGGCTTCACAGACTCAGGCTGCGGGGCTCAGTCAGCCCAAGACGGCCAAATCCTGCAAGGCCAGGCGCCATTGTTTCACCTGATCCAACGGATCAATGGTTCTACCCTCAACAATGCCTCGAGTCGGATTCGAAAGCACCAGCCATGATTGTCATTCACATCCAACGGCGCTGACATTTGCATATACAAGTTATACAAGTCTATTGCTGTGCTGCAAAAAGTGTTTTCTTGAATGAAGCAAGCAAATGGCCAATAGGCTCTTGAAATCAATACTCTCAACGAAGACTCAAGTCCTGCCCGGGTGGAAGTGGGTAGTCTAGTCCTTCTACTGAGTCGTGCTGAGGTCTCTTCGGCGCAAGTCTGGAGTGAACCCTTGAAATCTCCCAATACAATTCATTGATATCAATTGTTAACCTCTGTACAACAGCTTACAAGGATCAACCTGCTTGAGCACAAAGCAATTTGCCTTGGGAAAGGCCTTTAGTCGCCAGGGCACAGAGCATCCAATGCAAATCCCACTGCTGTGCAGTTTACTCTCACTTCCAGAGCTCTGGAGAAGAACGCGCACAATTGCCTTCACAAAGTGGGTGCAAATGTGTTGCAGCATGGCTTCTGACCATGTACCAGACAATGAAAACGTGACCGCACAAGATCATCATGATGGATTTTACGAGGCAAGGATCATGATGATCATGACCACATTCAAACAAATTGAAGATACCATATCAGTAGTATATTGCAGATTGCAAGACTTTGAGGCGTGCTTTTCCCAGCACCAGGAAATGTGAATCATTTTTCTAGTACCAGCAATGTGGCTCTTCAATCGTCTTCAAACTAACATGCAGTGGCAAACCATGTCAAACCTTGAAACATGCATCATATCGACAGCACAGTGAATGTGGCTAGAGTCTCAACAAGTCGTGTGATTCTGTGCCACGCACATGCTGCTTCATGTACATATCCTGTTATGTCTGTATTACTGCTGGATTGGAAGCAGCAATTGGGGAGCAAGGCTGGCTTATACCTGAGAAGAGGGGACGAAAGCCAGGGTCAAGTTTGAACGGGGACAGGAGAGTGGAGAGCATGGGAGGGATTGCGGCGGGGGCATCGGGGGAGGGGCGGAGGGGCCGGCATGGTGAGGCTGTGTTGGATGTGGCCGTGGGGAGCCCTTGGAAAGAAGGTAATGTGTAGGAAGAAGGAGCGGAGGGAAGAAGTGTGGGAAAGGTAGGGAAGGGTGAAGAGAGCGTAGGAGAAAGTGGAACGGGGGCCTCGTTTAAAGAGCTGACGGGGCGCAAAGGAGCCCGGAAGGGGAGAGGAGGTGTCGGTGGCAGGGAAGGCAAGGAAGAAGGGGAAGCGGGCGCCTGTGGAGAAAGAAGCTCCGTGGTAAGTTTGAAAAATGAAGTGAAGCCGGGTGGGTGCTCCGCACTCTACACTTTAGAGTGCGCACTTTACACTTCACACTCCACAGTCTACACTTTACACACTAGACTTTACACTCTACACTTTACACTCAACACCGCACACTCTACGCTTGACACACTACACTTTACACTTTACACTCTTCACTCTACACTCCATACTTTAGACATTAGACTTTACACTCCCCACTCCTCACTGCACACTTGACACGCCATACTCCACACTTTTCACGCCACGCTCTACACTTTACACGCTACACTTGACACTCTACACTCTACACTCCACACTCCACACTCTACACTTGCCACTGTACACCCTTCACTCCACACTCCGCCCTCTACACTTTACACTCTACATTTTACACTTTACACCCCACACTCCACACATTGTACACTTTACACACTACACTTTAAACTCTGCACTTTACACTCCACACTCTACACTCTACACTGTACACACTACACTTTACACTCGACACTCTTCACTCTACACTCCATACCTTACACTTTACACTTTACACTCCTCTCCTACCGCCAGGCATCAGCACCCATCTGCAACGTTCACCCTGCGGGCTCCTTTGCTTCCCAGCAGCTACCTAAAAGAGCCCCACTCCAAATGCCCCCCCCAAGCCACGCCCTGTCTTCCCTCCACTCGAACCATATGCACCGACAGCACAGTTCGCTGCTTTTACCAAGCATACCATGTCTATCCATGTCTCATGTCCTGCGCATGTTGCCATCCTCACGCATGCAGAACTGGCCCCTGGGGGTAGCTACCTACGTTCGCTGAAGTTTTGTGATGATATCTTTGGACAATTTCTATCGTGAGCTCATTGCGAGACATTGAGCTTGGGTGAGACTTCAAAGGCTAAAGTTGTATCGACAGCTTGCACCCTAGGTGCAGAGTTCTTGGTATTGCCTCTTTGCACCTTTCGGCTGAAACAGGGGTAAAGGTTTTAATCCGCTATCTTTCAAGGGAATTTAATCTATTTGCCTTTGCCGCCCGTAACCTCCCGTAACCTCCTATGACCTCCCGTGACAAAACGTTCCACACTCCACACTCCACACTTCCCACTCTACACTTTACACTTTAAACGTTACACTCTAAACTCCCCACTCCACACTTTAAACGCCACCTTCCCCACTTTACACTCGACACTCTACCCTCTACACTTTACACTCCACACTATACACCCCACACTCTACACTTTACACACTACACGTTATACGCTACACTTGACACTCCACACTCCACACTCTACACTTTACACACTACACTTTACGCTCTACGCTCTTCACTCTACGCTCCATACTTTACACTTTACACTCCTCATTCCTCACTGCACACGTTACACTCCACACTCCACACTTTACACTCCACACTTTACACTCCACGCTCTACACTTTACACTCTACACTGTGCACTTTACACTCCAGACTCCACACTCCACACTCCACACTTTACACACTAGACTTTACACTCTACACTTTAGACTCCACACCGCACACTCTAAACTTTACACACTGCACTTTGCACTTTACACTCTTCACTCTACACGCCATACTTTATACGTTACACGTTACACTCCTCACTCCTTACTGCACACTTTACACTCCACACTCCATACTTTACACTCCACACTCTACACTCCACACTCTACACTTTACACTCTACACTCTACACTCCACACTTTACACTTCACACTCCATACTCCACACTGTACACTCCACACTCCACACTCTACACTTTACGCTCCACACTCTACACTCTACGCTTTACACACTACACTTTACACTCTACACTTACACTCCGCCCTCTACACTTTAAACTCTACACTTTAAACTCTACACTTGACACTCTACACTCCCACACCTTACACTTTCCACTGTGCACCCCTCACTCCACACTCCACCCTCCACACTTTACACTCTACACTTTACACTTTCCACTTTAGACTTTACACTCCACTCCACACTCTACACTTTACACACTACACTTTACACTCTACACTTTACACTCCACACTCTACACTGTACACACTTCACTACACGTTACACTCGACGCTCTTCACTCTACACTCCATACCTTACACTTTACACTTTACACTCCTCTCCCACCGCCAGGCATCAGCACCCATCTGCCACCTTCACCCTGCGCGCTCCTTTGCTTCCCAGCAGCTACCTAAAAGAGCCTCACTCCACATTGCCTGCACAAGCCACGCACTTTCTTCCCTCCAATCTAACCATGTGCGCCGCCAGCCACGCACTTCCCCCCCAAACATCAGCTTCCCAGCAGCCACCCAATAGAGCCTCGCCCCAAAGAGCCCGCCCAAGCCACGCTCTTGTCCCTCCAACCTTCCCCCCATCGTACACCCCGCCCCGAAACTGCAATCCGTCCCCTTTATTTTATCCTTCCATTCCCTCTCTTTTTCCATTACTCTTTCCAAGTTTTTCCATTGTTCTGTTATGCTTTGACTCCATTTTTGCATCCCTTTACCCTCCATTCCACTCACCCCAAATGCACGTCGGGGGACGGACCAGGGGGGAATCGAACCCCACCGTCACCCAATTGCCACCTGGTACATCGGCCTCAAAATCATGGCCACCCTGATTAGGTGGGGAAGTGCCTCAAAATGGTTCGTTTGGAGACTACCACCCCCAGACCCCCTATTCTCACTTCGTTCGCAATGAGCAACTTCGCCATGCTTGACAGCTGGCTTTCGTAATAAGTGGTACAAGAGCAAGCATTGGTGAGAGAAATGCTATTCCCGCGATAGTGCCATGTGAAGATCTTTGAAATCTATCTGAATCATTCTGAATCTATGAAATCGTTGAATTCGTCCAAGATTCGTTTGGTACTCTTGGGTCCTTGAGAGATGCAGCGCACGTTGTTCCCAACAAGCATCGCTTTTCGGTCCAGAAAATGTTGTGGTCCAGTCCCTGAGCTGTGACATACGGTCATCCCACCATCATTTGGGAGCCCGGGATTCCATAGCAGAAATCCTTATGATGATGGGTATACTGTATATACTAACCCGTATTCGTGATGATATGGCCATCCCTTTCTTCTGGATATAGAATGGATATAGATATTGACCATGGCACATGTGCTCTATCAGTAAATCAGTTGTTGGATCTTTTATTCTATTCAATGTCACTTCATGTTCTCTTATATCTCCAGGAAACCGTTGCCAAAAGGCACGGGTTTCACTGCCTTCAAGCACTTGTTGAATGCCATATTAGGGCGAGCACTGTCTGTAGGGATACTTCCAAGCCATTGGAAAAACACGTGCCAAGTATGCCTTCATACCTTCGCTGCAGCTCAAACCAAGTCTCAAGAGAATTGAGTCTGAAGGCAAGCTCTGTGCAGACAGTCTCAATTCAGCAGCTTGTGTGGCCTTGCATTTGGGCTGCATCAAAGTGTCACTGGATTTGTTTAGTAGTTTAGCCCTAAGGAGACTGTACGCTTTAAGATATAAGAATTTACAGACTTAGCCTAGATATAAAGAAGTTAAATAAGTTATGTTGGAAGTTAACATGACTTATCAAAAATATAAAAATAAGTTATGTTAACTTGGGTAACTTATTTGTAAGTTTTTGATAAGTTTCGATAACTTTCTATATTTTGTTTATATAATATAATCATTTTTTATCATTTTTACATTGTTTTACAACGTTTTATAACTTGTTATAACTTTTTTTTATAACTTTTAAAGGCTCTGCAATGTTGGTTTTGTATTGTTTCGGATAATGCTTAACAATAACTTAATACAGCGTATGTTGTTTCGAAAGTGCGTTGATACATTTCTGAATATGTATTGTTCGTTTGTTTTATTACATTTGTTTCCCGGAATTCCGTTTCTTTCGTTTATTGAAGCAGCTGTTTATTTGTTTATATAATTTCTTTGCTTTTGCAAGAACTATCATATATGATGTCATTTATTTTCCAAGTGTTTTCCATTTCAGGAACTTTCATATTTGATGTGAAATCTTTTCAGATTTGTATTTTTCCGGAACCATCACATTTAATTCGATTTCCTTTCAGAATTTTTCCTTTTCAGGAACTTTCACATGTGATGTAAAATCTTTTCAGATTATTACTTTTCAGGAACCATCATACTTGATGCGAGTTCTTGAGCGCACACAATAGTTCAGGCCGAAACTAGCTATAGTTCAGCCTAAACTAGCTATAGTTCAGCCTAAACTAGCTATAGTTCAGCCTAAACTAGCTATAGTTCAGCCTAAACTAGCTATAGTTCAGCCTAAACTAGCTATAGTTCAGCCTGAACTAGCTATAGTTCAGCTTAAACTAGCTATAGTTCAGCCTAAACTAGCTATAGTTCAGCCTAAACTAGCTATAGTTCAGCCGAAACTAGCTATAGTTCAGCAACATTACTGAAGCTATCTAAACATACAGCACAAATTCCATTTTTGTAAGTTTGTATAACTTTTAAAACTGTTTACTTGTTTACCTTTCTGTAACTTATGAGAACTTTTGCTAAGAACTTATGTTAAGTCTCTGAACATAGTTATGACAAGTTATCTTTAGATAAGATACTTCCGATAAGTTCGTTAAGAACTTACAGTATATCTTACCTAAACATTTACAACTTCACGTAGCCGGCTAGCTGAAGTTATAACTTACTTGTCAAGAGTTGTAAAAAAATATACATACTTGCAAGCAGGTTATAAAGACGTTATAGAGGGCTTATAAGCACGTTATAATTCATGTAAATTTGTAAACCCACATAACTTTAAGCGTACAGTCTCCGATAGCCTAGTTCACAAAAGGTGTTCAAAAAATGCGCTCGTGATGTGCCGGGCCCCCTGACCTTCGGGCCATCATTTCATACCCTTTGGGAATCGCAACTGAAGTATGCTAAAAATACCACATGCAGCCCAAGTTACCCCATCAGGGATCACTGCGTCCTGCGAAGAGATCTCAACCAACTGTTCACCCTAGAGTTCCCGAGCACAACGGCATGTCGCGATCAAAGCTTGAACTGTGACAAATCCATGTTTTCTTTTGGATATCACTGAAATCTGGTGAGTATCGTGGGATATCATATCCCCCAGGCCCCAACCCTTCACCTTTCTGAATTATGAACAGAAAAGTGGTACCAAAAAGCAACTCAAACAAAGCTCTCAAGTTTTCCAAGTTGAACTGTCTGAAGTTCCAGTTGAATCAAACTCAATGAGCGCAATACTCCTCGCTGGAACGCATCATTCCAATATAGGACTTATTCGCTGTGCTTCTTTGGGCAAAATCGTCGGCGAGGCTTGACACCTGAATACCGCTGATCTGCCGACCATTCGGACCATTCTGCCACAAACTACTCTGAACTGTTGCGTGCAAGTCTCATAGTACGCTGCTGACATTGCCACTGACTTGAGTTCGCTAGAATGCTTCCGCTACGCAAATGGACTGCATGTTTCCCATATTCGGAATTGGAACCGGAGTGAGTTGCATGCATGGCATCATTCAACTTTGGCTTCAGTTTTTCAGTTGTTCGTGACAAACTGCCAAGTAAAATGCAAGTGTCGACGCGGTGCACCTCGTCCACTCTTTTTTGCAGATTTAACTCACAGCGACTTTGCACCTGTCCGGGGTACTATGATAAACCAGGGTCCATGAAGTTCAACAAAATGTTATCAATTGTCACATATACTTACTTATTTCATGATAATTTGAGCTGTGGATTCTGTTTCAACATGTTTGAACCATCAGCAGTTGAGAGAAAAGCCCTATTGGGTTGGCCGGGTTGGCCGGGTTGGCCGGGTTGGCCTGAAGCCAACGCCCAATGGTTTGTGCTGGAAACAAGATGAATTCAATGCATGTCTTAACTTGGCAAAGAGACGCGGAAGCTATACATCTCTGAGACGCGATCATCATAATGACAAAGAACATCACAGGGTTCAAGGGAGCCACGTCTTCTTTGCGAGGACCTCTCTGTAGATTCACGGGGTCGAAATCCACAGCACCGCGAATGCAGTGCTGCTGTGTGCTGTCACGTCTAGAAGAGAAAGAGAGAGAGAGAGAGAGAGACTAAGACGAGAAAGGGCGGCACAAATCATTGGAAGGGCACACCCACCGAGTGGCGGTCCATCGGATTGACAAGTGGTCTACCGTCAACCGTCAACCGTCGGCACCAACCTCAAAGTACCTCCGTGTATGATTCAGAATGTGTTCACATATGAGTTCACGCCTGGGATGTGAATAAAGGTTGCAGGCCCGGCACGAGCTCAAAAACTTCTTGCACCTTTGCATTCATTAGCACCTGACGCAGGAATCTCTGTGCCAAGACATGTTGATTGTCATTAGAATAGCAAATATTAGGTTGCGCCAATCTGCTCTAGCAAAGCGCAATCAAAATGAAATCAATAGAATTCAATAGAAACAAATATTTTCACATAACAAAGAGCCGTGCCTTGAAATTGTGTACCACTCCATCCAACAGAATTGCTGGGATCTGCGGCTCTTGGGCGAAGGCACGCTGAACGCTGAAGCCACCGAAATCGAAACCTTAGGAGGTGGCGACGGGGCCCCTGCCTGACCTTATGAAACGCTGGTTCCAGGGTACAGCAGTTAGTTTGTTAACTTGGCATCCTGCATGTTCAATCAGCATTTGATATATTTGATGTGGATGCTTCCGACGCATTGTCAAAAGCTGAAGTTCAGTTGCTTCAGCCCGCCTGATCAGCACTTAGGCCTGCACCTATGAGCCCAACTTCCTGTGGATTGACTGCACCTGGCGGACTAAAAAGCTGCTCGTGGGCGGATCCTTTTTGATGAATTCCTAACAGAAAAAAAACAGATTACAAACTGAAAGGTCCATCCCGGATCATCCAGGAGGGCTTTCGTAAATCCTTAGCTTTAGCATCCTAGCAAATTAGTTTGTTGCATGTAGCCACGGCCATTGTTGCATTGCTGCCAACTAAGATGCTACTCCATCCATCTCCATCCGGTTTCTGTAACCATGGCGTGGCCCCACCACCAAGAAGGCTATCTGGATCGGCCACTACATAGTCCCAAGCACCCAGGATGGTCAGCTCATCTGCAAGCCAATCGCTGACGTTTTCTCGCCTAAGCAACGACCCAAGCAATCTACAAGCCAAGTAGGCTACAGACATTACTTGTCTCCTTCAATTGAGTCGTATTAAAAACCCCGTTTGAAAATGCTGATCCCAACCACAAACCATCGTAATTCCATGCGGCGGTCTTCATGTTACAATAGGACCTCCACATTTCCAGATTATATATTAATATTGCCAGACGGAATCTTGGATGCTTTTGAGATACGGAGAAATAGAACAATGAATGGTTGTTTTGTATTGTGTACAGAAAATGGAGACATCTACGATATAAAGGGGTCATATATGTTTATATAAGGCTATGTGAAGGATAATTACCTAAAAATATGGTCCTAAACGGGGTACAGTACCTCCATTCCAGCCGTTTGAAATGCCCATCAAAAATGAGAAAAGAAAACCAAAACCGGTCAAATGGGTCTATGATCACCTGGGACGACTTTGGATGTCGTTCAGATGTCGTTCAGATGTCGTTTCGGATGTCGTTCAGATCGCCGTTGGGATTCAAAAATTTGACATATTGCTCTGTGACCGATCTAAGCACTCAGAGACAAGCGGTCGCACAAACAACAAACCTGATGTTCAAATCTAACCCGGAAAAGTGCAGTTCCAAATCAACCTGGGAAGAAAATTCTTCACTCTTGGGCAATCTCTCTGGCGGCCGCGGGGGCAGCCCGCAACTCAATGCTACCACATACCAACGCATGACATAACCACCGCATACCAACGCTACAGGGTTATGAAAGCTAAAAATGGCTCATGGGGGATGGAAATGGAAGACTAAACCAAATATAATGTGGTTTTCACAGACTCCCATATATGTCTATGTATGATTTGGATGTCGTTTCAGATGTCGTTCCAGATGTCGTTCCCCACCTAAATGGACTACCCTCAAAACAGTTTAAAGCCAGAATTAGGTGCGGCGGTGCGGCGAATTATGGACCAAGGATCACCGAATACATAGCTGAGTATTACGGGGATTTTAATACAGCTCAATTGCCGAGAAAACACTGGCTGCCGTTATAATGACATCCTCATGACGTCATGCTAACGAACAAGAACCTATAAGAAGGTGGTGGTCATCCTCTGATCAGCAAGAGTACCCTGAAAGCTGCAAGAAATCAAAAGATTCCTAGATTGATTAAATCAATCTGAATAAACCTTTTTGAATCATCATCCATCGTACACGCCCGAAAGGTCACCCAAAATACTGTGCCAAAGTCGGTGCACCAATACGGAATACCTCAAAATACTACAGCCAACAATCCCCCCCACTTCTGATTTCCGAGAAGTCTTTCAAGAAGCTGCGGCCGAGAGGCACTGATGTGAGATCGGTGATCTGGCACGCAGAAAGTGGACGACAGGATGACCAAAACAATTGATTCCCAGCCCCCAAAAGAAACTTGAAATGACTGCTACGAATTTCCACTACTAGTACGAATGTTCGACATCTCAATTTGGGATGACTTGGTACAAGTACAGAAATTCATAGGATCATATAGGATCATATTAGCAACATTCAACCATACAGTAGCCAAAGACCTCCCTTTTCGGATATATTCGGAAAGCGCACTACATTGACGCGCTTGTTTGTGTGGCTGTGCTTCCTATCCATATCAGCTCGTCTGCTCGCAACCCATGCTTTAAAGAAAGGGAGCAATGTGCGTACTGCAAACTATGGACTGGTGAGACACATCGAAGAACACTTGAAAAAAGGGCTTTAGTATCCAGAACGGTTTTCGCATTGTCCTCGGATACAAAGCATGACACTAGCATGGCCCACTCTTGGGCTCGCACGATCAATGAACTGATTCCCATCAAGCGGAGAAGGTAGCCAGCAGTTTGTGCCTTGGCAAATGGGCAGCGAATGGGCAGCAAACGAGTTCAGTGGAGGTCGGACTGGCACTTTTTGGAGCTTTGCAATTTTGTTTGGATCTGCTTTTGAAATCGGACCTAGCCAGAACCTGTCTGACTGTTGTCCCTGCTTGATTCTTCTCAGCACCTGCACTTGGACCTATTATGTATGCTCAGCACATTCAATCAAAGGGCTGACATGAGGCTACCACTTTTCCTACTTGCTATTCGACCTGAGCTTGGCGGTGTAATTGACATTCAGCAGCTTCACCAATCTCCGCACTTGTTTTGGATTACCCATTATATAATAATTATATGAATCCATACCTTCTCTAAATGATATCATTGACAATGACATCATGTTCTTCCCGCCGTGTGACTGAGCTCGAAAGGCCATGCTGTCTTCGTCCATGCACCACCACCTCAGGATGTCCAAGCGTGACAGCTGACAAATTGGCATCACTGTGTCAACATAGTGTCGAGATGTGTCAAGTACTTCGGGTGCCTTTGGGTACGCTCTGCTAAAGAGCCTTCTGTTTCACACTGGCCTGACAAGTGTGCCGGGTGTGACCGGTGTGGCACCAAGCGTCTACTCTGGCTGGTCCAGTGCTGGGTAGATACATCGCAGAAGCCTGGTGTCACATGGCTTGGATCGGATCAGCGGCACAGGCGCTGTAGCTGCTTTAGCAGTCTTTAGCTTGGTGTCTACCGAGTTTAGGTTTCAAAGTGTTGGAAGCTAAGTCGTGTGGCAGGATAATTGGTCAAGTGATGTCAAGTGGCACGATTCTCGCATCGGGTCCAAAGGGGTCTCAATTAGAGCCGCCCATGCCTTCTCTTAGTTGGAAGCACGGATGAACTAGTCACTAGTCTGCTTGTCGGCGTTCCCATGTAATAAGGTCTCTAGTCAAATCTTGGGTCAGGTCTGGTTGGAGTCTTTCATATTTGCACATTGTGGTATCCAGAACGTGTCATAGACAATCAATTTGTTGAAGAGACTAAAAAAGCTGATGGCTCTTCCATGACCTTCGTAAACTCACTGTCTTCCGGTTTGATATTCTCAAGTGCGCCGCGAATGAAATGATCCCAACTGACCCTCGAACTTTTACCGCAGTGATTTCGGGTGCCTGCTTTTGTCGCTCTCGAGTGGTGAAAGTGACCTGCCGAAAGCCTTGCTGGCGATTGTACTCTTCGATTGCTCCAATGAAAGCTGTCGCCTCAGTGGCTTGTCAGCTCCCTAGGTGCTACTGCACAAGCATGACTCAGAAACAACATATTGTATTGATTCGAAATTCTGCTGATATAATACATGGGATAATAGCGATATATTATAACATACTATATATATATATATTTACATATCATATATTTGTACATATCAATATTAGGAGCAAAGGGTTATATGATTATATGGGTTATGACAGTTATGACATTAAAGGGCAGAAGTCACATATCCTCGTGGCACAGCGAGTTGGAAGTCCCATCAATTGGGCAAAAGTCAGAATGAAAAAATCGAAATTCCCATGGCACAGCTGTATTCATGAAAAGTAATATAAAGATATAGAAAGAGATAATTGAAGAATACAGGGATTTGACAAAACCATGCCTAAGTCACTCCTTTCGCTTTCCCCGCTTGTGAACGCAACATCAAGAAGTCATGCCTAAGTCATGCCTTTTGGTCTTCCCCCATTGTGAACGCAAGCGTCAAAATAGCCCTTTCCAAATTGGAACCTTTCACTTTCGCTTCTTTTTTTCCTCCATGCCCTTGCGATTCAATATTTCTTATTTGCCCACTTTCTTCCCCAAACAGGTTTATTTGTATGAGGTTCTCAATAAGAATTCTGTAAATAGATACTGGGTAGCTATGGCCCTCTCACACAGAAAGAGGCCAATGCAGTTTGTAAGTTCTTACTCCTTTGAAAAGGTTGCAGTCCTGGGTCGCAGTATTTTGCTCCTAAGTCACTGATAAGAAAGCAGCTGCAACAAAAAAAGTTTCCCCCCAACTGAACGCAACAAAAACTACATATAAATATACCCAAAGCATAACTAGATACCTAAACCCAAGCTGAACGCAAGAAAAAACACAAAAACACTTAAAAACATGGTTGCGCTGTGATCACCAGAGTTCGCTTGCGTTTTCTAAAAAGGCACGACTTCCAGGGAAAGCTTCGACGCAACTAAATATAGTCATTTCTTAAAAAAAGGAGCGACTTTGTCGATTGCCTGTATTGAATGATGATAGTATTCTGATGCATTCTGATATCTTCTGATTCATGTCCCATGGTTTCCCTATAAAAGACCGCGGTGCCTGTCTTTGTAGGTCAACACATTCAGCCCGGAGCGCATCCACCAGATTGTCGGGAGTGCCCACCTTGTGCACCCGTGGCCGGGGGATGAAGCGTCCATATGACACGAGTGTATCAAAGGATGGCAAAGGGAATCACATTGAAAGGATTGAAAGGATGATTTAGTGACTTAGTGTCACTTGACTAATCAATTTCTATTGATTTGACTAGTGTTTATTTATGAAACTTGTGAAGCCATGAGCATCTCTGTTGACTTTTAACTTCCCCAAATGATCCATTAATATCGTGCACGTCTGTCAGGTGGATTAAACCCAAGGTCTTTGTCACGGAAAGATACCCATTCCTGATGAACCTCGATGGTCAGTTCATCGCCCACCTTCGCTTCGTGGGAGTGTCCAGCAGGTCCAGTGCGGGGATAGTACATTGATACTGGTAGTTCATGATAGTACACGATAGTACATCATGAAAACGGATGAAAACGGGATATCCCAGAACTGCCAAAACACCTGGTTTCCAGCTGTTTCGTTCTGTCTCCCATTTCCCCTTGAATCAATATTAATCAATGACAACAACTTACTGCGAAGGTTGATTTGCAGTGGCCTGATTTCCAAGGACGGCCACCATAGTGATGAAACTCAATGTGCACAGCACCAGGAAGCATAAGAATCGCCTTGGTCAACAGTTGCTAAAAAGACTGTAGGACTGTACGGACTAGAAACATCATGAAAAAATCATGAAATATCATGAAAACGGACTAGAAACCCTCAATTTGGAACCTGCAGCGTGCGCTGATGTCACACTGTCCTTTGGAAGTGAGTTTCTCCGCCTATGAAGTGCGAGAATCACTTATGTACACCCAGTTTGCAAAATCCAGGGGATCCAAATTTCAAGCATGTCTGTCTGGCAGTCTCGTGAGTACATGCAATGGAATTGCATCCGTTTTTCTATACGTACCCTTCTTCCCAATTGCCATCCAAGAAACAGCGCCCAACTCCTAACGCTTTCAGAACCCAGCTGGATGGAAAAATGATGTGCTCCCTTCTCACTGTGGATTGTACGGAGAAGAGGACACACAAACCGAAACTGGAAAAAATCGGAAATGTTAAGACCCTCAACTCAATGATCAATATCTTCTAGCGTAAAAAAGACACACCAGCACAAGGACGTTTCACTTGTTAAACAGATTCAGGCGGACTCAGTGCTCTTTTGCCGAAGTTCCAAAGACTTCTGTCGCAGCGCTCTGAATCTGCTTCCTGCATGGCGCGCAGACTCTCTGTGACCTTTCAAATCTTTCAACTGTCTGGGGCCAATGGGCCAAAACCCGGGAGTGGAATGCAGATTTGCTGGCATTTGGTCACCATCCCGCATCCTCCAGGCAGCATCGTGTGCAGCTCCATCGTCTCAAATCACCTCAAAGGTCACAGGAGAGGTGAAGCATGTCATGTACTGATTCGAATTACCATTCATGTTGATAGATGTTGATACTTGATATAATTGCGTGTTCTGTTGACATGCATGGATCTTGTTTACAAGTTACAGTCTATGTTTACAAGTTACAGTCTATGTGACAGTATACATAATGTAGATGTGTGTAACTCGAAACATACTATACACACTCATAACATCTCATAACATCTCATGGCCGGGAGATGCTGGGAGCATCTCGAACTTCACTCAGTTGCTACTGCCGAAAAGGGACCATTAAGATCCACCTGCTCTACGACCAGTTCAGGATCTTGGAGTTTGGTATCCCTCATGGTCGTTGACTTGATCTCAGCGCAACCATCAGAATATCACCGCGTCTCACCAGTATTTCCACACTCAGCCACATTATGCCACATTGACAAAACATGACAAGACCATGTTGAGCTGCATGATGCTGCATCACTTGAGGGGAGATGATCCTTCCACATCGGAAAAATGATATTAGCTGACAAGTTGTATCTGATCAAATCATGCATTCAACAAATGTCTTGGCTGCAGTTTGCTGCAGTATTCTTCTGTAATTCGTGTCTTGTGAAAGACCTTCTTATTTCGTCTCAAAGCCTTTCTGACACCTGCTTGAGTTGGCTAAGGCTATAAAATGTTCGCAAACTCAACATGCATCCGCAAACTCCTGCTGTTGACTCAAACTCAGGACTGGATGAAGATGGTGCCAGCATTGTTCATAGATGGGCCATCTTTTAGCTGGCAATGCAGTGTGAATATGTGTGAATTGGTTTACTTTTAGCTGGCAATGCCACCCAAATGCCAAGGCCCTGAATGTTTCGTTCGACATAGGACCCCCTAAGTTTGCTGTCGAACGTGCGGAAATTGGGAGGGCTGGGACAGATACCACGGTGTCAGGTGGGCAGAATTCTGGTTGGACTCACCAAAGTTGATGTCTTTACGAGGGACACCCTGCGTCTTGGGTCAACAGCAACGTGACATTAGCTGCAGGCACTGCAGGCAATGCAGATTACAAGTCCAGAGAATCTATAGCATGTTGTCATCAAACATTCATCATTATTTCACATTGTTTGCAACATTTTGCCGCCCGGGAGCTGCCGGTTTCTACCTTCATTTTCAGCAGCTCGTGCGTTGGCGAGCTATAAGTCTTCGGGTCCTCGGGTCATTTTTTATTCATTTTTTACATTTTATGATTTTTTTTTATCATTTTATTTGTTTTTCTCATTTTATTCATTCAGGAATTCACCATTCACCAACGGTTGAGCCGAGATCTGACGAGATCTGACGAGATCTTCCAGATTGATCAAACGGAAATCGCATTCAAAATGCCAAGAAACCATCGCTTCAAATTCATCACCTGGGACGTGACTCCAAGACATGGCCAGACTTGCAGAAGTATCCTTTTCGACTATATTCGACTAAGCTTGCACTTTCCAACTAGACTCTAGACTAGACTTATGATAATATGGTCTCATCATCGGTCCAGCCTTTCTTGGAGTTGCTTTTCTTCAGCTTTGCCTCCTGAACAGGTCATCATTTTCCTCCATAAACATTCATAAACCATGAGAGACCGCCCAAGAGAATTCCCCTCTGCACATCTGACACGGGACCTTCAAGCCCAGATCCACAGGGATGGTTGAGATGCCAGAATTTTTGCCCTCAGATCGCTGATCACATAATGCTGAACTCTGAGTTGGTTGAGCCAGGTAGCAAGAGAAACTTGGGAAACCTCTGTCAACAGCGTTTCAGCATTGTTTAGTGATGGAGTCTCACACCATGACTGGAAGCATCTTGAACCTGAAGTTTTGCTTCTACTCTCACTTCATTAATCAAAACTTGGAGCCTAGATGGAATGCCATTTAGACACGTAGTACATCGTAGTCCCAAAGCCTTTCCAGAGAGAAAAACCAGCCAATCATCATCCAATCATCATGGTCAGATATCCAGCATTGCTTTGTTCTAGTCGAGAAAGCTCTGCTACAGTTGGAGCCGAGGAACACCACTTGTCCCATCACCTGTGACCAACGCTGGAAGTTCAGCAAACTACAAAATGTAGCCGTGGAAGGATATTGAAGGCATGTTCTGGTTGGTGGCACAAGAACATCAGTTGCTGTTGGAAAGATATGGCAATGAAGTGCTTTGAATCCGAAAGAAACGACGGTTAATGTTTTTCACACGTGTGTTCGATACACGAATCGGCATTTCGTGAGGTTTCTGCAGAGGTCAGGTTTCTCAGAGAGACGGGTCAATGTACAATCTAACATCAGATTCAAACTGTTGTGTGGTTGAAACTGGTGCATTGAATACACAGCCAAAGTGCCCCAGGACGAGCCTGGAACAACGTCCAAGTTGGTTGCTGCATCTGAGGGCCGAAGCAATTCCATTTGAGATTGGAAGGAACCGGTGCAAGTTGTGGGGAAACCTCCCTACCCCTCTACTTCCACGAGAACCGCGGCTTATCAAAAGAGGAATGTTAGTGCAAGAGAACCAATCCCTTAGCAGTCCCAACTATGAGTCAATAAGTGCCTGACAACGTTAACTATCTTGCACAACATTACACAACCCTACAACCCGTGTGAGCAACAGATGTCCAGCACATCACATAAGTTACGTGCCATTTGCATCCATTTGCCACAGTAGTTGAGTGTCGTAATGTCATAACGATGAAATGATGTCCAGAAGTGGGGCAACGCCAAGTAGAATTGTTCCAAAAATCCTAGTAGAGAATCCCCAGAGAATTCCAGCGATATTCAGAATGATTTAGAATGATTTCGAATGATTCAAATATTCATGTAGTCATATGTAGTCACATATGTCACATGCAGACTCTCCCTTCGCAATCTTCGTAGGCAGCACACCTCCCCGTGAAATACTGCAGTCGTAACACCACATTGACGCTTGGCCTGGCACCATCTGCTCGGTGCTGGGTGCTGCTGGATGCTGCTGGTGTGTTTCGAATTTTGGCCAACACCCATTTGAATCCACTTGATAATATTTGATAGCACCTGGAGAGTAGAGAATGTGGAGATATGTCTTCTTCTACATGCTTGTACTATCCTCTACTGATTTCTACTGTCTTTCAAGTCTTTCTTGTCCAAGAAACCATTCTTTGCAAACTATGAATCATCCACAAGGATTGCTCATGTTGAAATTAAAGACAGGTCGCGTTGTTTCCGACAATTCACTGGATACCTTAAAGTGTTCACATTGCAAAGGTAAAGCAATATCATACCAAACCAAAACCCCACTTACGTGTACTTACGTCACTAAGCACCAGGCGCTGTTGCAGCAGATGTTTGTCAGTGGTTTACTCCATGGCAGTCGCAATTCTTTGGCGCTGCTGTGTTTTGTTGTGTTTTTTTTGTGTGAAGGTGTCCAAGTCTGATTGCGAGTTCAAAGGTGAGGGTGGCCTGTTTCTACTCAACTCTGCGCGTTCAGTGGTCCGGATTCATCATGCAAAGCGAATGGTGGCGGTGCGCTGAATGTTTATCTGAAAGGACAAGCTTGAGCCCACTGAAACAACCAGGTGGTGAGGGAACTGCCCCATGTTCCAACATATTCCAGCAATTTGCATCCTCCTGTGAATTTAAGGTGAAGGCTGTGTAACCATTTTGTAGTGAAGAAACGGTTTGCATAGCCTCAAGCTCTACTAAATGGATGTACATGCATGATTCATGATTGAATTTCACCACTAAATGTGGGCCCTTGGTTCTATTTTCGAAGTCTCTTAAGAGACCAACATGACTCGACTAACATATCAATTCTACCTCTCTAAATGTGGATCATGGGTCTAGAGATGTTTACTTGATTTTTATTGGAAAATCATGATTCTCTACTAAATGGTTTCTGCAAATTTCACTGTAATTTATTGGTTCACTTTCCGGAACAGGTCACAGCATTTACTAGGGGAAAATCACACGGGGATACAATTTCCACTAATGTCCAAGAAAATCGATTCGTTTTTGTGTCCACACAAATGTATGAGTACGTACTGTAAGTGTAGCATGTCAAATGTGTGCTTTGCTCCATTGCCCGCCAACATTATCTGAATCTCCAGCCTGCTGACAATCACCACAAATCAACAGCACTCGGCATCCCCACATGACGAGGAACGACCCTGACCTGGATTGAGACTGGACAACTTCAGCTAAGGAGCTCCTGAACTCCTTGACAAGGGCCAAGATAACTGAGCACACAGCTGTCAAGGCACCCCAGCCTACCTCAGGACATGTGGTTGAGGGAACACCTCCTGAACTTGTCCACTCAAAACCCGAACAATGGCAAACCGAAACAATTACTGGCCAGAATCAATGTTGAAAGGAAAAATCTTCGTTAAATTGGCCCACCTGTGATTGTCGGATATACATGGCAAGAAATGATCAGAAATGCCTGTCGCTCCCATTACTTCGCAGCCTCATGCAAATGGAAGCAATGATCAATATGCGTATGATCAGGCAATATCAGGCATAACTCCTTCATCCAATCACTACCGTGACCACCAAAGCCCCATGGCATGAGCCCTGACACCAAATCCCATGTCTACACACGTCACCAACTGCAGCTAAGGCACCACCCCTGCTCTGCCGTGGAAGGTTCAGGACTGAACCTCTCCTAGGAGATCAACTGCTGCAACGTCCGGACTAGTGACTAGTTATAGTTACATAATTCATGTCAATGCACAGATTCCAAATTTTGTGAGGACAGGATTCTTGCTCGCAACTGTTTGCATTGTCGCAGACTGGTTTGCTGCTGGAATATAGTGCCTGCACAAAGCTGAGGCATGGACTCGCGCAAGTTTTGTCAGGGAGAGTTTATGCATCTGTGGCACCTGCAGCAAAACACCAGCTACATACAGCTCAGCAATGCAAGTTTCTAGAAGAAATCAAGTGACCATAGAACACAGTACATACAGTACTTATTGCATCTGTAACTTGACTTGGCTCTAATCTTTCCAGCCGATCTGATCCAAAAAACTCCATGCCCAGCAAGCCCGAGGTACGAACGATTTCTGGTAAATGATTTTAATCCTGAGCTCAGCATCTCGCAAAACTCAACGGCCAGCATCGTTCTACTCAGGAATTGGGATGGAAAATCAGTTGCAAGAGAAACATAGAGAAACAAGACATTCAGTTGCCTTTATGTCCGTTCTGTTGACTCTCTTGCTACCAGAGCCTACCACCCAGAAGCTCAAAGGCATAACTTCATGAATGCAAAGGTTGGAATGTCTATACAGTAAATGATGAGTCATGAATCATGAAGGCTACCCCAAGAACTTCCCCAAGTACCTGTACATACCTGTACACAGCATAGAACTAACCAAAAAAAAACTTGGCTTCCCACCAATATCTTGAGATGCTGATAGGCCTGGTGCCTGAAACCAAATCACTTGGTTGCGCCAAAAGAAGTAGATGCGTTGGTTACCTGTCACTAAATTCACTCAACTAATTGCGCTTCAATTTGTTGATGACTTGGCTAAGTACGAGTAGTTGATCAGTTGCGTTGGTGGCTTGGAGTGTTTTTCAGCGGCACAATTTGTGTTTAGAGCAGTCGGCAGGGACATGGACGTGATAAATTGTGGCTACCAGCTACAAACGATCTTAATTGCTCTCAGTTTGTAAGCCCTTCAGGTACGCACAAAGCTGTTCATCATAAGGCGGCTTTGAGCCTTTTCTTGTTAGAGGCATTTCCAATTTGGCGGTTACTCCAAAAAAAACGTAATTCCCATTAAAACCCTTACTTTGACTATAATTTCCTTGAAATCAACAATAAATTACCTACACACCTAAGTATACTTAGGTGTGTAGTCCTAAAACCAACCAATCCATCTATCAGAATCAATCAAGAACAAATATTCAGAAGCCATGGCAATCCCATCTGTTGTTTTGGACCAAACAGAAGCAAACACCCCAATAATCCCACAAAATCCCACAACAAAAAACACAAAATCCCATTTTAAACAACTATATATATATATAACGGAAAATGTTCATCATGAAGCTGCAGCGATTCTATGATATTTCATGGCTTGTCCATCTGTCAATTCAATCTCCCTGGACTGTGCCTCAACAAGGACTTGCACCCTCGGTGAGAAAAGGTGTGGCCGGAGGTGTTCCACGCCAATATCATTTCTTCAAGGTTTGATTCTCGGAAATCTTTCGTTACCCCTTGCCAGCAGCTTATCCAAATCTCTGTTGATGCTTAATATTTGCAGGATCATGAGAGGAAATGACCGGGAAAAGAAACAAGGGGTCCTTGATCAATGTGCTCGGGTAGTATTAGATTTCTTCTTGCTGGAGACAACAGCACTGCAAGAAACGGGAGGGTGTTGTTGAATGCTCTTGCAAACAGAGGAAGTCCGACCCATGCTGCCCTGTCGGCGAGGGGCTCACATCGGGCATAAATTCGGGCTCACTCAGGGCATAATTTTTTGAGGTTCACTTGGGGCATAAAGTGGGCTCACTTGGGGCATATCTGGGATCAATTGGGGCATAAATGGACTCACTTTCAGCAAAAAGGGATCACTGTGGCCATCAAGAGAAAAGTACGACGTTGTATCTTGCACTTAATGTAAGACGAGCCACAACGCCTATGTTGGTGCACTTAATATAAGAAGGGCCACGACACCTTTAGGGTTTATATGTTGTTGCACTTAATGTAAGAAGAGCCACGCGACCTTTAGGGTTTATATGTTGTTGCACTTAATGTAAGAAGGGCCACGACACCTTTAGGGTTTATATGTTGTTGCACTTAATGTAAGAAGGGCCACGACACCTTTAGGGTTTATATGTTGTTGCACTTAATGTAAGAAGGGTCACGGCACCTTTAGGGTTTATATGCTGTTGCACTTAATGTAAGAAGGGCCACGACACCTTTAGGGTTTATATGCTGTTGCACTTGATGTAAGAAGAGCCACAACACCTTTAGTATGTTGTCGCACTTAATGTAAGAAGGGCCACGACACCTTTAGGGTTTATATGTTGTTGCACTTAATGTAAGAAGAGCCACGACACATTTAGGGTTTTTATGGTGTTGCACTTAATGTAAGAAGAGCCACAACACCTATGTTGTTGCACTTAATGTAAGAAGAGCCACGACACCTTTAGGGTTTATATGTTGTTGCACTTAATGTAAAAAGAGCCACGACACCTTTAAGGGTTTATATGTTGTTGCACAAAATGTAAGAAGAGACACGGAACCTTTAGGGTTTATATGTTGTTGCACTTAATGCAAGAAGGGCCACGACACCTTTAGGGTTTATATGTTGTTGCACTTAATGTAAGAAGGGCCACGACATCTTTAGGGTTTATATGTTGTTGCACTTAATGTAAGAAGGGCCACGACACCTTTAGGGTTTATATGCTGTTGCACTTGATGTAAGAAGAGCCACAACACCTTTAGTATGTTGTTGCACTTAATATAAGAAGGGCCACGACACCTTTAGGGTTTATATGTTGTTGCACTTAATGTAAGAAAAGGCACGACACCTTTAGGGTGTATATGTTGTTGCACTTAATGAAGAAGGGCCACGACACCTTTAGGGTATATATATATGTTGTTGCACTTAATGTAAGAAGAGCCACGACACCTTTAGGGTTTATATGTTGTTGCACTTAACGTAAGAAGGGCCACGACACCTTTAGGGTTGATATGTTGTTGCAGTTAATGTAAGAAGAGCCACAACACATTTAGGTTTTTTATGGTGTTGCACTTAATGGAAGAAGAGCCACGACACCATTAGGGTTTATATGTTGTTGCACTTAATGTAAGAAAAGGCACGACACCTCTAGGGTTTATATGTTGTTGCAATCAATGTAAGAAGAGCCACGGCACCTTTAGGGTCTATATGTTGTTGCACTGAATGTAAGAAGGGCCACGACACCTTTAAGGGTTTATATGTTGTTGCACAAAATGTAAGAAGAGCCACGACACCTTTAGGGTTTATATGTTGTTGCACTGAATGTAAGAAGGGCCACGACACCTTTAAGGGTTTATATGTTGTTGCACAAAATGTAAGAAGAGACACGGCACCTTTAGGGTTTATATGTTGTTGCACTCAATGTAAGAAGGGCCACGACACCTTTAGGGTTTATATGTTGTTGCACTGAATATAAGAAGGGCCACGACACCTGTAGGGTTTGTATGTTGTTGCACTTAATGTAAGAAGGGCCACGACACCTTTAGGGTTTATATGTTGTTGCACTTAATGCAAGAAGGGCCACGACACCTTTAGGGATTATTTGTTGTTGCACATAATGTAAGAAGAGCCACGACACCTTTTAGGGTTTATATGTTGTTGCACTGAGTATAAGAAGGGCCACGACACCTTTAGGGTTT